TGTCTATGTTTGTCAGTGACTGTGTGTCTGGCATGTGTGTGTCTGTGTGTGTGTGTGTGTGTGTGTCTGTCTGTGTGTGTGTGTGTGTGTCTCTGTGTGTGTGTGTGTCTGTGTCTATGTGTGTGTCTGTCTATGTTTGTCAGTGACTGTGTGTCTGGCATGTGTGTGTGCGCGTCTGTGTGTGTGTCTGTGTGTGTATGTGTGTCTGTCTGTGTGTGTGTCTGTGTGTGTGTGTGTCTGTCTGTGTGTGTGTCTGTGTGTGTATGTGTGTCTCTGTGTCTCTGTGTGTGTGTGTCTGTCTGTCTGTGTCTGTGTGTGTCTGTGTGTGTCTGTGTGTGTGTGTGTCTGTCTGTGTGTGTGTGTCTGTGTCTGTGTGTGTCTGTGTGTGTGTGCGCGTCTGTCTGTCTGTGTGTGTGTGTCTGTGTGTGTGTGTGTGTGTGTCTGTCTATGTTTGTCAGTGACTGTGTGTGTGTCTGTGTGTGTGTCTGTGTGTGTCTGTGTGCATGTCTGTCATTGTGCATGTGTCTGTCAGTGCCATTAACCTCATGGACCTCAGTCTGCACCCTCATGAGATATAAAAGACATTATATGGAGGAGAAGCAGATTGAAATTCTCCCCAGTAACCTAAGCCATGACCAGCATTACGATTTAAGCAAACTCATCAGTTTTTGTCATGTTGTAGTGTGTGGGATCTTCTTATGCACAGCTTTTTTTGCTATGTTTCCCCACATTGCAGTAGTGTTGACAACTAACAGATGATAAGTAATTAATTGGCCATGAGGTGGCTCAGGATCTCCGGAAGGTGGACGGAGACACATCCTTCCATTTCCAGTCGAGCCTACAGGAGCTGGAGATCTCCATTTACCAACTGACAGCTCACAGCTGAGATGCAATAAACCTGGGCAACTTCAAACAAGCTTCCTGGTGGCTGTGCACCTTGTCCAAGGGATGATGCAAAACATCAAGGCCACACACAATGAGACACTGATATTCCTATCATGTAAAAAGCAATTGCTACAACTTTTGCCATGCTTTTCTGGTACATTTTAATAAAAATTAAACATGGTAATCTTTGCAGAACGACAGAAATTGAATAATCGCAAGCTCTGGGTGTTTGCTTCCGTTACAACAGTTAAAGAGATTTCATTTGTCTTGAGCAGGCATCTAAAAGTACAGATTCTCAATGGATCTTTCCTTTTTCACTTTCAGGAACAAATTGAAGCTTGAAAACTTGGATGACGCCTGTGTCCTGAAGGGAGAGGACGATTCCCTGATGGATAAGCATGGTTGTCCTGCGTACGTGGGGCCAGAGATACTTAACACCAAGCAGTCATATTCGGGGAGGGCTGCGGACGTCTGGAGTCTGGGAGTGGTTCTCTACACCATGCTGGTGGGCCGCTACCCTTTCCAGGACATGGAGCCAGCTGCCCTCTTCGGCAAGATCCGGCGAGGGCTCTACACTGTCCCGGACCACATTTCCCCGAAAGCAAAGTGCCTTATTCAGTGCATCTTACGACGGAATCCTGCGGAGAGGTTGACAGCCAGTGAGATCTTGGATCATCCCTGGTTCAGTTCCAACTTCAACGTGACCTTCAGCAGCAGCTCAGGCCCATCAACTGACCAGTTGGTCCCTGATGGCTACAGGGAGGATGCAGATTTGTAGATTTTTGTTTTGTTGAAAACCATTTATAAAAAAGGAAATGTAATTTGAAACGTTGACGGTCACGTTGTGCCTTCTCTGTGAATTGGACAATGACTTTGGCCTCTGCATCCTTTCCTGTTGGAGTGTTTTTTGAGGTGAAAGACTTTGGGGGTGGGTGCCAGGTGCAGATTGTTCCCACGGCTTTACTGTTGGGAGATGGTGCCTCATGCATCAAGCGGCATGCGGCATAAGCCTGGGGCGATGGACACCACTCATTGGTCAGTGTTTACGACAGCGTGTGATGACAGTGGGTCTTTGGACAAGTGGGTTGCTTAATCCTGTTTGGGGAGCTCCAAGTCCCTCCTGACAGTCAGTTTCCAAATGTTTCGGAAATGCACTGCCACACATGCACACACACACACACAAATACACACACACGCACACACACACACACACACACACCCACCCAAATACACACACACACACACACACAAATACACAAATACACACACACACACACACACACAAATACACACACACATACACACACACACACACACGAATACACAAATACACACACACGCACACACACACACAAATACACACACACAAATACACACATACACACACACACGCACACAAATACACACACACAAATACACACACACACATGTACATATACGCACACACACACACGCACATATACATATACACACACATACCTATACACACACACATACACACATGCAAACACATGCACACACATACACGCACACACACGCACATATACACATGCACACACCCACCCACCCACCCACCCACCCCCGGCCCCGGGAGAAAATGAAAACAAACCTCGGGCCCACTTGTTTGCAGCTGGAGGTTACCGATAGCAATAAAAACACAACCAGGACTACCTCGGGATTGAGAGACTATGACGGAGGTGAGCTGTCTCGAGGGAGGGAGCGTAGTAAGTTATGGTAGCCTGGTCAGTGATACCGAATGAAACCTGTAAACCTCTGATCCATCATTCCACTGTTGGCCTAGTGAAGGGCTTGTAGCAGTGATGCTGTATGGATAGTTTTTGTCCAGTTTCCTGTGACCTCTCCTTCAACTGGGGACCAAAGGTGTTACTCATTGTTGGGTATGGAAGGAAGGGCTGTCACCTATTCAACACGAACCTTATGGTGATCAGGCAGAGTTTAGGGGTAACTCACCCACCCCGCATTGCCTCTGTACAGTAACACTCAGCCTTCCCTGGTGAAGCTGAAGAAGTGTGAGAATGGGGCAGACTTTCCCACTTGAACCGGGAGCTCCTGGCCCAGTCCCTTCATTGTACAAAAGCTGAAGGATCACTCTTGTTCTCTCTCCTCGGAGATGCTTTCAAGAAATGCATATAGGTCAACAACAAGCACGGACTGAAGTCTTCTCCTGTTTTTTCACTGTCATCTGGTTGCATTCCCCCCTCTC